TATATATATGTGCAGTAGCTGAATAGTTAATATGTAGATAAACTCAACAGTCAAATTTACTATATTTGGTAGTATGCTGTGGTATCTAGAGAAAAATTTTTGTCCAGAGGTAACTTTTCATTATCACCCTCAATCTGTTCTTATACTGTTATGAACAATATTGGAATGAGTAAGTTAGCAGTAAGTTATTCTGTGCCCTATTACTAATCCAGTGATGTGTATGTTTCCTGGCAGAGATCATGATACATCTTTTGAAATGAAACATTTCTTTAAAATGGTTGTTAATAATCAACAGCATTCAGCATACTAAATTACATGTATCAAATAAACTTGATCAGTAGATGTCAACTATATTGTTAGAGCTTTATATGTGGGTTGAATGAAAATGAGGTTATTTTTTCCTTTGGAAAAGCCTGTATATAAATGAACATTTCTTTATTTTAATATTCCTGCTACCTTATGCTCAGAGATTGATCTTTTGAAACATTGCTGTATGCCAATGTGGAATGAGAAGGTCTACTTTTGTAATGCAATTTAAATTCAGGACCTCCATGAAATGCTTGAACCACACCATGACTGAATGATATCCTGGACTGCTTAGGGATTTTACAGCTCGTCTTTACTTCATCATATCATCATAACACTGCTAAGAACCTATCAGAGTGAATTAAATCAGCTTCCCAGAGTGAGCATGAACAACTCACTCACTCTCTCACAGAAAAGCAGTATCTTGGTTTTCAGGTCACTGTGGTGGAGTCCAGTGTCTCATTTCATTACCGAGAGCCTTAAAAGTTATTTAATGTTTCATCACCTATTCCTTCCTCTCTGTAATTGGGAGTAGGAATGTCCTTCACACAAGAGAGTGACAGATAGGTTGCATGTGAACTTGGCACTTCTATTTAAAGGGTCACACAGATTTATAGGGCATTTTACTATAAAGCTTGGATTTATCTTAGTCTGTCCCATGTATTCCCATGTATTTTGGTTTGTATACAATCAAAAACTTGATTAACAGCTTCGTGTATATGTTTATTGAAATTCTATGTGTATGTTTATGTGAATCTTTTTTCCTTGTTCTACTCTCAAACTAAAGAATTTATGTACTTTTACTTGTGTTATGTACTCCTGTATTGTGTTTTTCCCAAAAGACTCAGTATATTTGGAATAAAGTACTATTAAACTATCCTGAAACAAAAAGGACCAAAGTTAATTATAGTAATTAGATGACGTTAACACAAAAGTTTTTGCCTATGGCTATTTGATATTTTGCAACTTTAATACAGTTTTATTAAAACTATAGACATCATGAAGTAGTAAAATAACTGCCCCATTATTATAAATATGAATACTGAAACCCCAAGAGAAGTCTTTGAGAATTCTATCTGGCATATTTCAGTCAGTATCATCTGTTTACATTTTATATGAAATTGTCTATTCTTGAGTTGGAAATTTTTTATCATGTAAAATTTCTGGTAAAAAACATGGATTAAAATGGGCCCTCCCTGGTGGCGCAGCGAGTTAAAGCACTGCACTGAGAAGCTAAAGCCACTTCCGCATGAGTTTGATTCCCGCCTGCTCCGGAGGTGACCACATGGCGCGCAGACCTCTCCTGACAGGCCCGCTGCTCGCCTCAGCAGTGTACTTCATCTATCTGCCTGTTCTGCTCCCCGCTCTGTATGTGGTGAATCCTCTCACGGTCCCTGTACCCAGTTCTGTATCCATAAATAAATAAATCTTTAAAAAAATTGATAAAAAAACATTGAATTTTTAATAATGACACCTAATCCTTAATACTTTCATAAGATTATATATTTTCTTTTCATTCTGAATATTCGCAGACTAGGATATGTTTGACCATATCATTGAAGTTGGTTTTCATGCTTTATTGTAAATTTTAAGGTTATCTTCAAATACTAGATTACTGAAAATTATTTTATACTAAAAGTAATTAATGAAAAATGAGTCCAATACATGGAACATTGCTTATTTTATTTCACATTTATCATATGTATTGCTGTAGAATTAATTTATTTTTATTTTGATATGACTATGAAAGTACTGTTCCTGGTAATTTGCTTAATGATCATTCATAAAATGGCAAAGTTATTTTCATTTTTAGATATAGTAAAGTCATTAAAAAGAAGACAGAATCTTTAACCTTATATTTTCAGAGTGCATCTAGTACAATTAATATTGTATCTTACACAAAAATAATATTGCAGAAATTAAGTTTACTTTTCTCTTTTTTGCTTTTTAGGAATGTTGATTTACCAATATCATTTGTAATAGCAATAGTTATATAGTAATAGTATAATATATAGTAATAGTAATATATAATATATAGTATAATATTATAACAATAGTTATAATTTATATACTTTGGAATCCCTTTCCAAAGTAAATGCTTAAAGTATTTTTATCTTATACAGAACAATGACATTAATGACTACAGATATATTATTGGTAGAGAACCTTTGGGTTTATCTGCTATTCATTTACACTACCTCAGTAATCAGAAAATGTCTTCACTCATATTTGTTCAAATGAAGTAATATATTTGTGATTCACAGTGTCTAATGTTCATGAAAAAGTGGTAAGTTGTTTCAATTTTCTTATGTATACATTATCATCATTTTTTTTATAATTTAATTAATTGGTAATATGGAAATTGGTTGATGCCCACATTTAGGGACTATAAGTGTACTGAGGTTTGACAAAAGGTAGAGAATAGATGCTTATACTGTCCATATTATGCATTTTAATTATAGTATGTATAAATACAAGCATTTCAAATCCTTGATTCAAGACAACTTTTTATGCAATAAATACTTCCATAACAATGTGTTTTAATAATACCATGACAAGTAATCTATATTGCTGTCAAACTGTTTAAGTAATAAGAGATTTATAATTGACTGGAAAATTACAATAACATAAACAGCTTCAAAATGAACTTTATTGTTATACCAGTAGTAATTTAACAATTTGATAATAGGATTTAAAATAATGGTAGACCATGGGTGATTTGGTGATTGTAAACCCGCAGGGATTACAATCGAGATGGAAAAAAAATGTACAAAATGATGTAAAAATAAACTTTTGTAATTAAAAAAAAAGATAGATTGAAATGATAGACTAATAGGAATTAAAATGAATTATGTGAAAAAAAATAAAATAAAATAATGGTAGACCAAAAGAAAAAGCATTTCCCACACACACACACACACAATGACATAATATATATATACATATATTTGTTTAAGACTTGTCATAATTTAATATTGGTAATAAGAAATTATATATTTATATAATATTTACACTTTAACAGATTTTATTGTATATACTTCTTTCTTTTTTTATTCTATCTGAATATACACCTGATAATTGCTAATTCTTCTATATAAATTGCAGAAATAGCTAAGTTTATACAGCTTTTTAGTGCACAAAAGCCAAGATATAGACAACTTTATTTTTAAGGTGTAATGTGAAAATTGTTATTAAATGTAAAAAGCTTTGTCTTAGATTGAGAAAGCTTCTTCAATTGGACATTTGTAATCAACTAGTTCTGCTCTTTTTTTTAAGGCTTCAATAATCTAAAATGGTACTTTTTGCAGTGCATGTGTGAGGATGGACTCATTTCATTAAGCTTATTGTGTAGCTTTCTGATAATCAACCTCAAAACTCAAATCTACATGAGAGGACTTTGGAATATGTTGACTCTCAGTACTGCCTGATGTGTGAGGAATATTGGTTCTTATATGACTTACTAACAATACAGTATTTTCTTAAGTTTTAAGATCTCCAGTTAATGAATTGGTTTTAATTTAATGAATTAAGAAAATACTCATTAAATATGACAAATAGTGACCTCAAATAAGCACAAGTATTTCATCCTAAATAAAATTCAATTCTGCTCTTCATGTTCCTCACCCTACCAGTGTCCTGAAAATGGCTTATGTATAGGTTCTTTGAGAAAACAAAACATCTTATTAAGAAAGTAACAAAAAATTCTAGTCACACACTATTATATTTAAATAAGACCATGGAACAGAATGACTAGATTGTCTCATCCTATAGACTGACTGTCAGTATACACATACTGTCAATATATTTTGTGTAAGGTTCATTTAGTGATAAATTACTGAATGTGGAATGATTTTGGATAAACTGTATTATATTGAAGCCACTCTGAACTTGGGTTTACTTTGTCATACTAAAACTATATATAATTATGTGCATATTCACCCAGTATTAAAAGAGTTTGAATCTGTTTAGTCCAATTGCCACAAAAGATGCCTAGTTTGTATTTCTGCTTCAATACTGGCATTTTATTATTCTCTGGAGATTTAAAGTTATTTAAAGTATACTGGCATTTGGGAGCAGCAGTCTGTGAAGTTACTGTCATTATTTGATTGAACACCAGGAATATGAGAATAAGTTCTTGAAACTGGTTTTATTTATGGGATTATTAATATTTATGATACTAATTTATGTAAAATGAATCATAAAATAAATGTTAATATTCAAATGTAACTTCCTAATTTTTGGTTTTTATATTTTGCTGAAAACCTTCAATACCATATTTTTGCTCTATAAAATGAATAATGACTGGTGAATTTATTTTGCAAGTATCTAATAAAACTTTTTTGGCTCATTTTAGTATAATCAAAGTTAGTAGTTCTTAGCAAATGATCCTTCTTAGCTATCTTTACATTGGCAATATTCTGTAGAAACAGTTAATGTTGCTTAAGCAGTATTTAATTTCCAATTCAAAATCATGCTGTGTCAATACATAACTAACTGAATTAAAATTAGTAAACCTAATGTATCGCTATTAATATTTTTACAAATATTCTCAAGATATTCCCATAATAAGTCTAAACCCTAAAATTAATTAAACTTTTAAGTTTGTAGAGGACCTGAAATAAAACTAGCATTGATATTATTAATGAAATAACTTTTCATAAACTTATTTCTTCTTATCTTTTCTTTAATTTCAGGTGCAATAATAGAACCCAGTGTGCAGTGGTGGCAGGTCCTGATGTTTTTCCAGACCCATGTCCAGGAACCTATAAATACCTTGAAGTTCAGTATGAATGCGTCCCTTACAGTATGTACATTCCTGCACTTTTATTGTTGAAAGGAAAAGTTATTAAGCTTTATTTTGCATGTGTTGACAAAATATCCTCCATGAAAACATAAAAGTAATCATGTAAGTTAGATGAAAATTAAAGTAGGCTAATTTTAATTTTTCAGGCTCATAAACTTTCCATACCATTGGAAGAATTAGATGATTAGGTATTGCCTGTACAAACCTTGCAGCTTCTGTCTATCACTTCTTTTTAAAAGTGTTCTCCATACAAGAATAGAATGTTGAAAAAAGGTGGACTATTATGCCATATTGGATACCTTTAGGTCCAAGCAATAGAAGTGAAGGTGAATAATATACTTGTGTATTTGTATATAAATTATAATATAGAAACTGAAAAATAATTGAATTTAATAGAAACAACTTCATCTAAACTTTCAGTGTTGTCAACATTTTATGTTCCTTCAGAGAGAGCAAGCTGAAAAGACAATACAAGTTTTACACAATCTCCTTAGAATGTATTTTGAATAATTTCCAAGAAATACCTCTTTTTAACATTCATATATGACAGATGCCAACAACACTTTTTTTTCCTGGAATAATGAGGAATCAAACAATCAAAAATAGAAAGTTTTCTGATATTTATACCAAGGGAACTCAGTCATCTAAAATAAAAATGACTAGTTAATTATTCATGGCTTTCCAAAGTGAAAATCACCCAGGAGATCTTACGTTCTCATATTAGATATTCAGCTAATCCCACAGGTAGAAAACACCTGGGACATCAACAAATCCCAGGTTCTCGCTTCTTTTGACATCTCAGAAGAAGCAAAATGTCTGGGGAGGAGAAAGTTTACTGTATCACAAGATTTTGGTGTGCCTCCATGCTATATAAAAGGCAGCAAACGACTCCTGAATTCAAAATGGATTTACTTCATTAACAGTAATTTTGGCAGCAAAAAGTGAATTAAATTTTTAAATAATAATGAAAACAATCAAAAGAAAATGTTTCCCATATATGTAGTATGATTGCTTATAGAAAGTTTATTCCATAAGCTTTATATGTTGATACTCTTTTTTTTATGAAACGCATACATGTCTTCTTTTGCAATTTTAATTGAATTTATACTTCTTACAATATTATCTCTTAGGACCGTGTTATGAAAATATAAGACACTTACTGACCATTTATTGTTCATTAGTAACATTTTAAATAACATTTGTAGTTTAATTTGGAACTCTGACAATTTTACTTACATTACAAAAATATCTTTCTGAAACATGTAGAATAACTACTTCCATCGCTTTTTATAAAAATAGTCAAATAAGGTATACCTCATTTTTAAAGACAGCTTTCGGAATCTTCCAATCACATTTTTGAAATAAGAAAGTGGAACTAGAAATGTCAAATTATTTTTTTTCATAATTTTAAAAATTAAAGAATTTCACAGCTGTCGCTTCAATTTCCTGTATTTCTTCAGAACTTCTTTGAGGTTAGCTACTCCAAAATCCTCTGCCAAAATCACACTAAAATAGCATCTACTTAAATCACTTCACTGTGAATAAAAACTTGCTCATACTCTTTTGCATAAAAGGATTATTATGGCTTACCACAGATTTCCTTTCACCCTTATATATTTCCAAAGATGACCTTTTTTACTTATCTTTACAGGTTTTTGATAATTCTGAAAAGTTACTGATTATCTTAATAGTATGTCCATACTGTAATAAAATGTTTATCTGATTATTTGTTTAAATAAGATTTTAAACTTCAGTTTAATCACTTGCCTATATACCAGCTTAATTTATATGGGGTAGCATGATTATGATTATTTCAATTATCGTAAGAATTATTCAGTTAAATGTGTAATGAATACCTGGGAATTACCTAGTAAATATAATGTCATTTTAAAAGAAATTAATTCAAAATTACACATCCTTTGTATTTAAACAATTACATAAAATCAGTGAATCCTTTGAAAGATAGGTTGTTTTCATAGACACCAATCTGAGATCAGAAAGCCTGAGTTTAATAGCATATTGTCCAGTTACTTTACAAATGAACTGAGTCATTTTAGCTCAGATAAGCAATTAAAATATTCTGGATTACAATTTCTATACTTCCTCTACCTGTAAAAGCTTGTAATTTAGAACAGTGTGAATATTTTTCTCTAAGATAACATAGATTTTCCCAAAGTTAAAAACAACAACAAAAAAAATCTTGTTTAAAATTGCTATCATTTATTGACTCTTACAATGTTATTTACTACATGTTTAAATATTTATATAATTATTTTATTTAATTCTAACAGTATCCTCCCTGCCATGTAAGAAAGTTTATCATTTTGCTAAAGAAGAAATAGAAACCTTGTAGGATAAGTAAATGTGTCCTGTTAAATGTAGGGTAGCTTCAGAACGGCAGAACCAAGATTTAAATATCTCTAGGACTGGTTCTCAAGGCCCCACCTATAGCACTCCTCATAGATTTTTTTCCCTTTATATTTTCAAAGTTTAAATATTTTAATGTTCATCAGTATTCTATTGAGACTCATTGAAAGCAGTTATATCAAGGGCTCATATTTGTTTTCTTAGTTTTTTTCACTCTTTTGTGAGGTTTATTTTCCTTTTATATTGCAGCTGACTCATTACAAACTTATCTTCCTAAACATCTACTAAAATTTCATAAATAAAACGACCATATAGTTTTATAAACTTATAAAGTTCATGATGAAAATCCTACCCTTAATTTAGAATGATGCTTAAGTTAAAAAGAAAAGACATTGGTTAAATAAATTTGTATTGAAAAAGAAAATCATCATGCTTATTAAACTTGTTAAAAGACCCTAATTATATGAATAGAAGGCAAATCCCAGATTTTCTGTATTCAGGATACAGTAATATTTGAAAAATTTCCAATCACACAAGTAGCAAAATGTTATATTCTATTTATATACATTCAGTAATCACCATTTCCATATTTAATTTGAGATGACATAGTTCAGTGTATTTGGTATTATATCTAGTATTTATTAATTTTTTCTTGATATAAATATGTGATAATTGTTATTTTGATAGCTTCTTTCTTTTTACATGTTCTGTGTGTGCTTCCAGATATTGTTGACTTCAAGGTGCTATTTTATAGGGGAAAAAATGTATATAAAAGGAAAAGATATAATAACCAAAGCTATGTAGGGAAACATTGATATCAATTAACCATACTAGAAGTAATACAGATAGAAATTCAACATTTTGGAGTCTTAACCTAAAAAAATGACATGAACTTTTTTAATAAAAGATGCCAAAAATAAAGAAAAGCCAGTAAATGTAAGCAATATAATGAGGCCACTATCTTTAACTGTCTTATCCCTAGTTGTTTTTTTGTTTGTTGTTGTTGTTGTTGTTGCTTTTTTAAGTTTTCTTGTCTGTGTTTTCATGTTTGGGTACACAGATACCATGCTTGTGACCAAATTTGGTACAGATGAATCAATGCTTTTCTGTTCCTGTCACACATTATTGCCAGTATGACTTTTCATAGTCTTTTTGTTTTCTTTTGAGGTTTGATTGTCTCCTTAGTGATATTTTCTCCTCAGGGGATGACCCAAATATCAGAAGGTTAAATCTCACTATTTATTTGCTCTCCTGTCTTTCCTCTCACCCACCCTTATTCGTCTGGCCTGATTTTTGGGACTGGAATTGTGGCATCTTCAAGTAGAGCTTCCCTCATTTAGCCAGTTTGCAGGGATGCTTGTGTTAGGGAGAAAACAATAAAACAACTAACCATCCACTTATAGTATTTCTGAGCAAAGACTCTTTATATCCTGCTGACAATTTGTCTTTCTTCCAAAGCATACAATTTCACGCACATTACACTCAAAAAGTGCTTGTCTTCTCTCACAATCCAGCCTTTCTCTTCAGTTCTTTGTTTCTTCCTTTCAGAAATACAAAGCACATATTACTTATTCTAGCAATTTCTTCTGGTGGTGAGATTCCACAGGAAATGGAGGGGATGAGCACACAATTTGGAGAGCTATTAGGAATGAGTGTTTAATTAAACCAATCTTATGTTACAGCACTTACAGATTTTCTCACCACTCACTTTAGCCATCGAGAATTATGTTGGGCAATTGGAGTTATTGCAAGACATGCAAAATTAGTATTATTGAAAATTTAATATTTACATATAATTATATAACCTCTTAATTTTGTCTTTGTACTAATTTACATAAGAAAATAAGTACAAATCTGCGTTATTAGTCTTGAACACAAATGCATCTTTAAATATTTAATTATAAATAACTAAATGTTTGACAACTAATGTTCAAATGGATGCTTACTTAATATACGCATACTTTGGTTTCTATTATATGAATGAATACATATTTTAAAACTCACACTTAAGCATTTTGTTTAACTTTTAAGCTATCAAAGAGGCAGCTCTTTCTGCCCACCTGTGTCTGTGCAAGCATCGTTTTTTTCTGTTTTTAATAAAAACAGTGTCAATGAAAATCACAATTTAATTTGATTCCCAGAGTGCCTGTAATGTTTTCTAATTTCTAACATATAGGTGAAAATCAATAAATATATATCAAATCATCAATAGGAAAAAGGAAGATCAGTAGAAGTGGCTTCTCCATTTTTTTTTATGTTCATTACTGGAATGATAAACTCAAGAAAATATAGCCTACAATATTCAATTCAATAGAAAAATATTTTAAAATATAGATTATATGAATTTTAGTCTTGCTAAATTGGTTGGTGATTGTGGTTATTTTCTTCAAGTTTACTGCTTGCAGCCAATTTGTTTTCATGTCATTTATTTGTGTACATCTATTTAATATAGTATTTTATGTCAATTATATAAATTTTCATTTTAGATTGATATTTAAATAGGGGTAAACAAATAATTTCTTTTATGCCCATCCATTACATCCCTTACTACAATAGCTGTCAAATAAATGATTTCTCAATCACATATCTTATACCTTTTAACAGATAACTCATAAAACTTTTGCAAATGTATC